AACGCACTTTGAAAATATTTTTCAAAGTGCGTAATTTTTCAAAGTGCGTCGTAACAGGGCATACATAATGAAATTCGATTATTCGTGGACGATACATCACTGTTTGCATGCGCGGATCTAGAGGGGGGGGGTCGGGGGGGGGTCAGGACCCCCCTGGAATTTACCAGGTTAAAAAATGTATATACTATAACAAGAAAACAGTTACCCTGGACCCCCCTGGAAAACTCAGACCCCCCCTCCCCCAGAAGAGGGTAAGATAAGTGAAAGATTTAAGCAATAGAAGTCACCACTACCCCCCCCCCCCCCCCCCCCCACGAAATAGGTTTTTGACGTTTGGGCGATTTTACTATTTTTTTTTTTTTTGCTTGTCGAGAAATTTCTGGGATTGGAATTTTTTTTTTGACTGAGGTGGACCCCCCCTGGAAAAAATTTCTGGATCCGCGCCTGGTTTGCAATAGTGGACACTAATATTAATACTCCTACATGATCTCTTAATTACAACCGATCTTGATAAAATAAAGAAATGGTCACAAATCTGATTTTTATTAGATTTTAGGATAGGCGAATGTGTGTGGATATGTGGAAGGGATAGTGTAAATTAATTCATTCAAGATTTGCTAAATTGTTCGTTTGGGCGAAGGCTTAGAAAAAGTGACACACTGCGTGTACAGGTACATACCAGTGAATGTTATCATTAAAATAAAATTCGACGGACATTAATTTACTGGTACATGTATTTTAGTTATCTGCAGACAACGTAATCTTCAGAGAATGAGGCATTATATATATTTTCTGTTTTTCATACCCCAGATTTCCTTTCTTTTGATTTACCGTACCGTTTACACGGGCCTGTGTTTTAACAGCTGTTCATAAATACTGTCAATTAATATATGATAGGAAAAAACGATACATCTCTCGGTAATTTATTTTTTTAGGGGGAAAATATAGGTGAAAATATATAGATTGACACCTTAGTATTTACCTGTGTAATTACGAGGTTACAAACCGTGACGATGACTGGACAGGATGGGCTACCCGTTATAAAAACAACTCATAATCAACTCTGCGGACCTATAATTAGTTCACTCTAATGTCTGTATTTCAAACGCAGATTAGGCTCTACATGCGTATATTTGGGCACTCTTGCATATACATTATACTTTAATTATAAAACGTGCATGTTCTGTATTTGCATGCATGTACATTATGTGTCTCCGTAAAACCTTCATGAAGCATTACGAGAGCTGATAAGAAAAAATAAACGGAAACCTGCTCGCAAAAAATTACAAGTTTAATAGAAAATAATTATTTGTTCAAGGTTAATTAGTTGTCCAATGGAATAAGTTACGCATGTGTGTCTCAATCTACATACTTTGGAGGCGCGTGTGAATGTGGGATTTGGTATTGATGTATTCTGATAAAACACTCGATATTTGTATATTTGGGACGTATACAGTTGTACGTTTTAAGAACGACGACAAAAGAACGTATATTGACTTACATACATGTACATTTAACTTAAGATACAAAAAATCTATCACTAGTAGAAATTAATCAAAGGAGCATATTTTCGATGGTATTTGAAGTGAAACAGATCATGACCTCTATATCGAGAAAAACATTTGCTATAAAAAAAAAAATAATTATATGCAACTTTTATTTAATTCAGCAAATAAATTATTGAATGAAATGCACTAGCAACATAATCAGTCAAAGATACTATGAAATAATCTGAAAGATTCAACATATTAATTAAATTTATCCATTCTGTGGTTTCTTTTGTGTATATGATTGGGGGTTGCTGGATAACACGCCGATTGATTCCCGGTGACCGACTTTGCCCCGCGTTATCGCGTTATATAATCGTAAACAAACAAGGTTAATGTAAAAGGCGTGCACTTAATGGCTGTGAATAGTATATGCTTTACAGTTATGTTTTATTTTCTCACTATATTGTTTGTTTTAATATGATAAGAAGAAAAGATTATCTTTTCTTCCATTTTTAGTAGACTTGATTTATACGATTTAAAAAAAATGAAATAAAAGGGAAAATTGTCAGTGAATAATCATGATAATTTGGGGGGAAAACACAAAACACTTCAAGAATCTTATTCTAAAAAACATTAGCATCCAATGTAGCCATGTTTATCATTTATGGTAAGTTTGTTTTGGTTTACATGCATGAGTAGCTCACGTTTACGTGCTGAGTGAATAGAATTACCTGTACATATATGGGTCATGTATCTAGCTCATTTAAAACAAGACTCGAACAAAACAATTTCATGAGATAATAAGATGTTAAAGCGAACCTTCATAATCGACAGTCATTCCGAAATATTTACCTTTTTTGAGTTATAAAGCAAAAACTTTCAAGGGCCCTAGATCCCTAATTTCAGGGGCCAGCCCCTTTTAAATTATATTAAATGAAAGCTCGTGCAATTATGCACAACTTTTATTCTACATGTCTTAACAAAATATTTTTAGTTTTCAAGATAAAAAGGAAAATATGTGTTAATTTTCGCTCTTTTAGGCGTTCTAATTTTTGACCCCTATATAGCGCCATTTTGAATACAGAAATCGAAAAACAAAAACCGATGTGCACAACTTCAATCCTTCTGTTATCTAAAACCAGTAAAATTTCTGCTCCAGCTTTTGTGGTCTCTGAGCCTTTGTCTGGAAATGAAAGCCTATAAATTTTCGTTTAAAGGGAAATAACTCAAAACCGGAAGTGACTTTTTGAAATTTTAGACAGCATTCTGATAGAGTTTATTATTGTCTATAATGTCTGAAAATTTGAGCAAAATCCATTGAGAAATGAGTGAGATATGAGGCCTCAAAGTTGGCGTCTAGGAAGAAAAAAAAAAAGAACTAGAGCCGAGCTCGTTGCAAAGCAACGAGTAGGTCTTCCGTCCTGTTTGACCGGAAGTAACTTTCATTTAAAAAAAAAAAGAGTAATGAAGTCCAAAAATGGGTTAGTCCTCCAAATCTATGTTAAGTATTGCAAAATTAAGCCATTCTTTGGTACTTCCGGTTTGACCGGAAGTGACGACGACGGACGGAAAATTAATATTTAAGCTTCTAGTAACACATGTTACCCCAAAACCTGTCAAAAACGGCAAAAATATGCATTTTCTGACTACTTCCGGTTCGACCGGAAGTGACGTCGCCGGACGTATTTTGATGACCCCATTAGATAAAGCTTGATATTTTGAACAACTTTGCTTCTTTGATGAATAACAAATTCTCAATACTTTTTGAGATATCTGGAAAAAACTTTTGGCCCCTCTAGGTCCCTTAATTTAGGGGTCAGCCCTTTTTTGACATATCATTTGAAAGATCTTCTAATTCTGCACAAATTATGTTCTATATTTTTTAACAAAATATTTTTTAGTTTAGAAGATAAAAAGAAAAATATGAGTAATTTTTGGTTCTTTTAAGCGTTCTAATTTTTGACCCCTGTATAGCGCCATTTTGAATAGAGAAATTGAAAAACAAAAACCGATATGCACAACTTCAATCCTTCTATTATCTAAAATCAGTAGAATTTCTGCTCCAGCTTTAGCCGTCTCTGAGCCTTTGTCTGGAAACGAAAGCCTATAAATTTTCGTATAAAGGGAAATAACTCAAAACGGGAAGTGGCTTTTTGAAATTTTAGACAGCATTCTGATAGAGTTTATTAACGTCTATAACGTCTGAAAATTTGAGCGAAATCCGTTGAGAAATGAACGAGATATGAGGCCTCAAAGTTGCGGTCTAGGAAGCAGAAGAAAAAAAAAGAATAATAATCTTTACCAACAGAATCAGTAGAAGGTCTTCCGTTGGAAACGGAAGACCTTAATAATTAGACTAGAGCAAAGCTCGTTGCAAAGCAACGAGTAGGTCTTCCGTCATGTTTGACCGGAAGTGGCTCTCATTTTTAACAAAAATGAGACATAACGTCCAAAAATGGTTTGATTCCTCTAAATCCATGTTAATTATTGCAAAAATAAGCAATTTTCTGTTACTTCCGGTTTGACCGGAAGTGACGACGACGGACGGGAAATTAATTTTAATGCTCCCAGAGACATATGTTACCAAAAAACTTGTCAAGAACGGCAAAAATACGTGTTTTCCGACTACTTCCGGTTTGACCGGAAGTGACGACGCCCAACGTATTTTGACGACTTTAATAGATTAAGCTTGACATTTTGAACAACTTTGCTTCTTTGACGTATTACAAATTCTCAATACTTTTTGAGATTTAAAGGAAAAACTTTCGGCCCCTACAGGCCCCTGATTTAAGGGGCCAGCCCTTTTTTCGAGATGTAATTTGAAAGGTCTTGAAATTCTACACCTTTTTTGTGCTACATGCTTTAACAAAATATTTCTAGGTAAAAAGTTATCGTTGAAAAGGTGCTTAAAATTTTGAAATTCTTAATAGGACTATTTTCGGGCCATAGCGAGCGTCGGCGCTTCATACTTCCGGTAGTTGTGATATACTTAGTGCACTTCTCCAAAAATTGCTCTAGCATCCACTGAAAATTTCAGGCTTCTGTGTTAAGTGCTTTTTGAGAAAACTGCCGGACAAAGTGACCCTCTAAAAATCACTAAATCGCAGAAAACTCCGAACCGGAAGTGACGTCATCAAAATAAAAAAATATATATCTAGATTTTTTTATGTTCTATCAGACCTGAAAGTTTCATCAAAATCGATCCAGCCGTTCTCGAGAAATCGCGCGCACAAAATCGGTAAGAAAAAAAAACAATAATAAAAATAGTGGAAAAGAAACCTAAGAAAAACAATAAGGTCTTCCGCTGAAGACGGAAGACCTTAAATAATCTTAATCATCAGAATCAGTAGAAGGTCTTCCGTTGGAAACGGAAGACCTTAATTAACAATATATCACATCTCAGAATATATCAGTGTTTGTCTATCACAGTGTTTTTATATCACAACTGGGAAAACATCACAAAGCATATCTATCACATCTTGGAATATATCACAGTGTTTACCTGTCCCATTATTTTTCCTCCCATAGTGGCTGTGTCTGTCCCTTTTTCTCGATTGCTAGCACTAATCCAGATAAACCATAGAATTTTCCTTCAACATGAAGTTGACGCAATAACGTAAAGTCGGATGGTAGAATATTAGGAAACGCTTCGGGGTATCTAAGATAGTCAAGTACGAAATCAAAGTATCTGGGATTCCTGTCAATAAAATAGGTCTCTTTGCATGGCTTGATTGGTGATTTTGGGTTGGTCATTGCTGCAAGTAATGATGATGGGTCGCTCGATAGTGTTCTTCTACTTGTTTCAAACTTTCTCCCCCCCACATTCAGTATTACATGACCGTCTTGTTGCTCTTTAAGTATGTTCAGTTTAACTTCCATCTGGTCAGTCGGGTTATATGTAGGTGTTTCATTGGATTCCTGAACTTCGTAGCTTTCTTCCTCTGGGGCATTTAACGAAAGAACATCTTTGATGGAATTTTCAGATTTCTTTGTAGATGCGGACGAGTCCGAATTTGAAGTTGAAGATGAGATGAGGATGAGGATGAGGATGTTGATGATACAACTGATTTAGATTTAAAAGTTTTCTTTGCATTTGGGTTAGAAGTAGTGGATACAGTTGGTCGTGGCTGAGGCTGGGGTTGGGGTTGTTCCACAGGTTTAGGACTTGGTACTGGACCAGGAGCTGGAATTTTCTGGTCATTGTCACCTTTGTTGTCTACTTTTTGTTTCTTTGGGGGTACGACTGTGTCAATGCAGATTGCTCTTTTTGCCCCTGGTGTCGGATTGAAGTTAGGAACGACTTCTTTCATATAAGCCTCAACGAGAGTTGATCTCTGCCGCTGGAATTCAGCAAATTCTTTTCGCTCTTCTTCCCCATACTTCATGTTAAATTTTTTTAGAATTTGGAGGTTGTACCCCTTACAACCGTGTTTTTGGTCCTTGCGCCCCAACATATAGTGGCATTTGTCGCATTGGTAACCAAACCCGGAATGGGTGGCGGTCAAATGGCGTTCCGCATGGACCTGATTTGTAAATTCCCTTCCATTGCAAAGGATGCATTTGAAGCGCTGTATCTGTGGAAATAGATATTTTTTTCTTAGTCCCCTTGGAACCATGTCATAGTAATAAAATGTGCAATAATAATATAGTAACAGTAAAATTATGTCAATCAAAATTTGAATAATATGTCAATCAAATTTTGAACTATATGTCAATCTATATAAGGTATATATACTGTATCGGACATGCATATATACACAACAGTATAGAATTTTTATGCTTGAAACCATTTGGGGATATTTATCCCATTGTAGATTTTCAGTCTATTATGGTGAATTACATCCCCTTTATGTCTAGGGTGCTTTTGAACTTTGTAGAGAATGTCATTTATTTTCTCTTTGATTCTGAATGGTCCTGCCCAATGTCTGGATAGCTTTCGTTCTAAACCCAGATTTTGGTTAGGATAGTATACCCATACTGCATCGCCTATTTTATAGGGATTATGTTGGATTTTTGTATTATACTCTCTTATCATATTCTGGGAATTTAATTTGATATTTTCCCTTGCAAAATTGTAAATTTTGTTCATTTTCTCTGATAAATTTTGTATATAATCTGAAATGTTGCATCTTTCAGGGTCAGGTCTCCCAAGTACTAGATCAATAGGGAGTGCAACTTGTTGACCAAAGACCATCTCATTTGGGCTCACCCCTGTGGATTCATGTACTGAGGATCTATAAGCCAACATGAGTAAAGGTACTAACTCATCCCAATTTTTCTGATTTTTATCAACAAAAGCTGACAACATATTTTCAATTGTACGATTAGCCCTTTCAATCATCCCGTCAGATTGGGGTCTGTAAGGTGAAGTTCGAGTCTTCTCTATTCCCAGTAATTTACACAATTCTTGGAATATAGTAGACTTAAACATTTGACCTTGATCGGAGTGTAATTGCATTGGTACTCCAAAGATAGGTATTATATGTTGCAATAGTTTTTGGGATATTGTAGTAGCCTTTTTATTTTTCATAGGGATGGCGTCGACCCATTTTGTAAAGTAGTCTCCTACAACTAGTAGGTATGAGTTTTTCTTATGGGTAATGGGAAGTGGTCCCAATATATCTAATGCCCAACGTTCCATTGGTACCCCAACGTTATAAATTTGTAAGGGGGCTTTTGGTAACTTATTAGGAGATTTTCTTGAAGCACAAATGTCACAAGTTTGACAGTAATGTCGAATGTCATGAGACATTTTATACCAAAAATATTTGTCTCGAGCTTTTGATAATGTCTTTTTGTAACCCAGATGTCCCCCAGTGATGCCACTGTGGATATCTTCCAAAACTTCTTTGGCAAATGAACTGGGAAGAATTACTTGCAATTTTGGGGTAACATGTTCCCATTTATGATAAAGAATGTTATCTTGCCATTTGAGGGAATCGAATCTAACCCAGTAGTATTTGCATATTTCACTCAAATTTGATATAGTTTCCCAGGTAGGTTTATTTTTGGATTTTACCCATTCTCTAACCTTTTTAATATCTGGGTCATTTTCTTGTATATCTTCTAAACTCCTATTTTGAAGTGACAATTGTTTTTCAGGATCTTGAGAAGTAGATGGTAAAGAAGTTTCATGATTTCCAGAGCGAGTGACAATCTGGCATGATTCAGGTATGGCTCTAACATGTTCATTACTAACTTTGTCAATAATTTCTGACCCATATTTTGTTTCAGCTCTCATGCAATGTTTACAATTTTGATCGACACAAGGTCTTCGGGATAGGGCATCCGCATTGCTGTGTGATCGACCTGCTCGGTGTTCAATCTTAAAGTCATAGGAAGACAGTGATTCGAACCATCGGGCTAGCTGACCTTCTGGGTTTTTAAAGTTTAAAAGCCATGTGAGTGAGCCATGGTCAGTTCTCACTCTAAAAGGTTTTCCATATAAGTAGTGATGGAAATGTTTTATTGATTTGACAATAGCTAATAGTTCTCTTCTCGTGACACAGTAGCGTCGTTTAGTGGCACTAAAAGTTTTACTAAAGTAGCTTATGACCTTGACAACCCCATTTTGTTCTTGGGAAAGGACTGCCCCTAAACCCGTATTGGAGGCGTCTGTGTCAAGGATGAACAGGCCTTCATCCTTTGGGAATGCTAAGATGTCAGAGCTTATAAGAGCTTTCTTTAATGTGTCGAATGCTTCTTGACAATTGGGTTCCCATAAGAATTTTTGTTGGGATTCTGTCAACTTATGCAAAGGTTTGGCAATATCTGCAAATTTATGTACAAATTTCCTATAATAGGAACAGAGCCCTAGGAAACTTCTCACTTCCCTAAGATTTTTGGGAATAGGCCAGTTTTTAACAGTGTCAATCTTTGATGGGTCAGTTGATATCCCATGTTCATTTACAATATGCCCAAGGAATGATACTTCCTTTTGTAAAAATATACATTTCTTTGGACTCATTTTCAAATTAGCTTCTTTTAGTCGAGTGAAAACTTGTCTCAGGTTGTCAATGTGCTCTTCAAAAGTTTTTGAAAGGATAATGATATCGTCTAGATATACTAAGCAAATTTTCCATGACAAGTTAGATAAAACCTTTTCCATAAGTCTTTCAAATGTGGCCCCAGCATTGCAAAGTCCAAACGGCATGTTTAGGAATTGCCAATGACCACCCCCCGGAATTGAAAATGCAGTTTTGGGTTTATCCTCTGGCGACATTTTTACCTGCCAGTACCCACTTTTTAAGTCAACTGTAGAAAACCATTTTGACCCAGATAAAGCGTCCAATGTCGTGTCTATTCTGGGTATAGGATAACTGTCTTTAACTGTTATGTCATTAAGTTTTCCGTAATCGATACAGAACCGGATTGTCCCATCCTTTTTCTTAACAAGGACTATGGGAGAACTCCATGGACTGTCCGAGGATTCAATAATCTTTTTATCTAACGTTATTGATTTCTTTTTGTGCTTCTTTAAATTTAGCAAGAGGTATTTGTCTTGGATGTTGCTTTATGGGTTTTGCATTTCCCGTATTTATAGTGTGTTCCACTAGTTCAGTTAGACCCATGTCAGAGGAATCTTTGGAAAAACTATTTTGAAATTCCTTAAGTAAGGCAATAAATTTTTCTTTTTGTTTTGAATCCAAATATTTTGGAAGTTTGTCCACAATTTGTTCTAAATGCTTTGGCAAATGAGTATCGTTTTGGGTGTCAATGTTCAGGGAATTGATGGAATGTGTACAAGATTCATACATTTCTTCAACTTTTTCAATACTGGCAACTACAGTCCCTTTATAGATCTTAATACTTTGATCATTTAAATTGGTGTACCGTATCGGGATATTTTCCCCGGTATTAACCTTAACCAAAGTTTTGGGAATAAGCACTTCATGCTTCTCAATAAATTTTGTCGTAGGCTCTACAATAGCCGCTTCCCCAAGAAATAATGGGTTTTCCACTTTCCCAGATGCTACTATGTCACTATTAGGAGGTATTTCTATATCCTCAGAAATTGTAATTTTGCTAACTGGGATTTTCATTTCTTCTCTGTTAAAACAAGGGATCTCTTTACCCTTAATTTTCAATTTCTTTTTCTTAATCAAAATGTCACAAGTATTTGTTGCCATAAAATCTATCCCCAATATAAAATCATTAAGGATATCCACCACCAACACATTGTGGGTAACCGTAACATTTCCCAAGCTAATACTTATTGGAATTTCCCCTTGAACCAAAATATTTTGCCCATTTGCCGATGTCAAATTGATAGAAGATGGCTTCAATTCATCTTTACCCAAATCTTTAGCAACACTAGAACTTAGTACTGTCACACTAGCCCCAGTATCTACTAACATGGGTATCACTTTGTTTTCTATTTTCCCAACTACATACATTCCATCATTTCCAACTTTCATAATGTCATTAATCATTATTTCTTTTGAATCACTCTTTATTGGAGTTTGAATGTCATTTTCAATTTCAAATTTTTCATTGAGTCTAACTGAACTAGTCTCTTTGTTTAACTTTGTTTTATTTTCTAATGTTGTCGTCTGGGGTCTACCCCATATCTCTGTCGACTTCCGACCCCTGAAGCCGACGTGTGGTAGTTTGTTGGATTCCTATTGTGGGTGAAATTTTGTCGTGAACGATTGTCATTGTTATCCCGTCTATGATCGGGTCTATTTCCCATATAGGAAGGTCGATTTTGGGAATTATTGAAATGGGTTCCTTGTCCCTGATTGAACTTTACAAAATTTTGTATCTCTTTGGTAAGAGTTTGCAAGTCATTCCCAATAGCTTTCTTAATAGCCCCAACAATATCTGATTCTTTTTCTTGGGTAACTTTTACATTATTAATTGAGTGAGCCCTCTGGGCGTCAGCAAGTTTGTGGGTTTCGAATCTGATTGCCAATATTTCGGCTTCATTAATATCTCTTGGTCTCATTTCGCGCAATCTCAGGCGCATGTCAGAATCTGTAAGAGCATCGATAAAGTGATCTAGAGCCAAGGTGTTTGTCATAGTTGAGTCTGCTGTCGGATATGCCCTTCTTGTCAGTTTTCTTATTGATTGGGATAGTTCGGGAATAGATTCATTGTTTCCCCTTACTAAACCCTTTAATTGAGCACGATACATTTCTGACCGTTCTACAGATCCATAGCGGGTATTTAAAGCCCTTACTAGTGAATCAAAATCATGTCGTTGGGATTCATTTAACTCTGTTAATACTGCTCTAGCCCCACCTGTCAAGCTACTTGCAAGGCATAGAGATTTTGTCTGATGGTCCCAATTATGGAGTGTAGCAAGTATGTTAAATTGGGTCAAATATTCTTCAAAGTCATCTCTCCCGTCAAAGGTTTGGGGTTTTATGCCAATGGGAGATTTGGATGCAGGTGCCACATTTGCTAGCCTTGTAGAAACACAAGTATTTTCATTTTGATCTAGAAGTTCTGAGTTCCCATGGGTAGTTACGGGACTGAAACTTTCTTTGTTAGCTCCACAGAGCATACCCATATCTGGATGAACAATAGATTCCCCATACCCATTCATAGATTGGGAAGTGGGTTTTCTATTTATTTCATCTTTTTGTTTGAGTTTGTTTATTTCTGACCACAATCTTTGGGATTCTTCCCTTACTTCACTTATTTGTTGCCCAACTTCATGTTTCATGCATAAAAATTCTTTTGTCATATTATGCATTGCATTTAATAATTGCTCATTTATGTTTTCAGACTGATGGGTCACTGATGCCTGTTTGGGAGAAGATACAGCATGGTCATCTCTGGATAACCTGGGTGATCCCATACAAGATCTGGGATTAAAAACTATTTCTCCAGAGTCTTCTAAGTCACTGTTATTTTGGGACATTTTTTTATTAAATCTTTTACGAAAAATTTTCAATTTGGGTAAAATAAAATTTTATAAATCTTATATTTGTGTCTTAATTTCTATCCAATCAAAGTATGGGATTCTAAATAATAATTATCCCACTTCTGACACCAATGTTACGTCTTCGACCCTTTTTACTATGTTTTTGGTAAACGCAACTGTGGGTCTCCCAAGTCTGTATATCAGATAGAAATTATAATACCAAATAACTTTCTATATAAAAACTTTATTAAAATCAATTAATTTGTCAAGGATGAGTTATTGAGCGGTAATAAATTATAAAAGCAATAAATCAATATGAATGGGATTTTAATATCCCATATAAAGTTTTTCCCAAATGTGGGAATACCCTAAAAATATTTCTTTTCAATAATAAACTATTTAAAATAAATAACCACAGGCATCAGTTCCCAATATTAATAAATTAATCTAATTAATTAATTAATTACCCATCTGTTTTGGGTTTCCATTATATTTCTCTAGCTGTCCTCGTCAGGTTGAGGCAAATGAGCAATTAGCTGCAGATGACAGCTAACAGCTGTTTATATCGTATTACGTTGCTAGTGAAATGACGTACGATCCGCTCCCCTTTCCCGCAATTAGACCTGCACCGGAAGTTTATTGTGCTTAGCGATCTCGATGTATTTAAAGTGATAATAAATCTCAATTTAAGCATATTTTAATACCCCCCAAAACCATCTTATTATTTACAAAACTATTTAAAACAATAAACTAATGAATTTCTAGTGCGTAATGGATCACATGAGTAAGAATACTTCTTTAAAAACTACGATGACAGCTAGCTAATTATCTTTCGCCACGGAATCTGACGTCGCAATCGTCATTGATGACGAAAGCGCTTCGGAGTCCGAAGATACCCGAAGTGCAAGGCAAGATGGATTCCAGCGGGCAAGTTGTAAGTATACTTTGAGCATATCATAAGCATAATTAATGAAATGTTATTCTAAATGTACAAAAATTCATGAATATAAATATATAACCGCTCTGCAATTCATGAAAATTAAGTTTATAAAGCGAAAGCTTCATAACCAAAAGAATATGTGCATTGGGGCCCACGAAGGGGGGTTACGAGACTACGTTATTTGATGTAAAGTTATATGCTTCCTTCGGAAAATCCCTTCAGAGTTTATATCTGTGTGTATTTTTATTATCTTTAAACTATAAGTAAATAATTAATAATAATAGGTCAAATTATAAACACGAATAATACGTAAAATTAAGATTAAAAGTTACTGACTTATCGCGAGAACCGCATATCAGATCCGAAAAATCTTCAGCAATTTTTTGAGTGTGATATATTTATCTTTGCCATTGTGTTTTATTTTTAATTTACCGCTAAATTAAAATGGAGAGAGTGCACTGTCACTTGTCTTGTGCGATCGCTGGCCGCGGCGCAGGGACATTGCAGCCGCCAAAATTTCAACCCAAGGGATCGATTGCTCTCTGACTCACTGATGATCACTATTTTTTTTTTTTTACTATATATTCCATAATACTAAATAAAATGTATGCTGAAGGCTAAATGAAAAAGTTCTCTTCTTTTTTTGTATGTCTTCACCATCTAACCAAGCGCATGGTCAACTGCTCATGTTTAAGGGGGAAAATTAATTTAGCCTAGGCCTAGGTGTGCATGTGTAATCAGAAAGTTTTGTTTTCCTAGGGTCCTGATACTGATTCAAGCTCTGATGAGCTTCCACCTGTTAGAGGTGGAAGATTGGCAAGAGGGGTTTCGGCAAGAGGAGGTGTCCGTCATGCCAGAGGCAGAGTGAGATCTGGTCGTGCCAGGGGCAGGGGGCAGGGTGTTCGACGCGGCAGAAGGCAAACTACAGTAGATAGGAGAGATGTGGTTGCTGCAAGAAATACTCAGTTACAAGTATGTCAAGTCAAATATTTTCAATATATACACTTTCAAGTAGAAATATGTCATTAGTGTTAGAAGTATGTTTATAAATTATGTGTAACAGATCAATGTTTGCAGAAGTGGATGTATCATGTTTCAATGTCTGTTTCTCAGGAACGCATTCATAATATGCCAGAAAATAACTTGAGAGATCTGGTCTACCAACTCTGCCAGAGGAATCCAAGTTTGGTTTTTGGTGTCCTGGAGGAGTGTAGCAAGGCCGAAAGGGGTGAACACCATCCACCCCCTGCTCACATGCAAGGGCAGCCTGACTGGTGTTGCTGTTCTCATTGCAGGGAAATGCCCACACAAGTAGAACGTGTCTGTTGTAACCAAACAGAGCAGAATTCGCGGGAATTGGAGTTATGTCAGTTGGAGGATCATACTAGGGTTTACAATGTCGGAATAACATAAAAATGATTATTTCAATAGTGGTCGTATTTCAATAGTGGTTATTACCTAGGTTTGTTATTAAAATGCACTCTCAACCACTATTGATATAATTATTTCAATAGTGGTCGTATTTCAATAGTGGTTACTAACTATGTTTGCTATTGAAATGCACTCTCAACCACTATTGATATAATTATTTCAATAGCGGTCGTATTTCAATAGTGGTTACTAACTATGTTTGCTATTGAAATGCACTCTCAACCACTATTGATATAATTATTTCAATAGTGGTCGTTATTTCAATAGTGGGTGCAACACCCCATCCTAGCCCCGGGGATCATGATTTGAAGAAATTTGAATCTACTCTATCTGATGATTTCACATGAGTTTATTTCCTGTCTCAATGGTTCTTGAGAAGAAGATTTTTAAATTCACCAGTAATCTTACTGGACAGAGCTTCTATACCAGAACTTGGGAAAATCTGAACTGCAAATCTTCTAATGTTGTCTATGGAATAGAATGTAATTTGTGTGGACTTGTTTATATCGGTGAAACCAAGGGATCTCTTACCAAAGGAATATCATGTCATCGATTTCAAATAAATCATGATGGTCAACAGCTTTTATACAAACATTTTTATTCACCTGATCATTCTATTTTGTCAATGAAAGTTTGAATTCTCGAAAAGATTTATCACCACACAAATAGTCCGTCGCTGAGTACACCTTTCCGTAGACAACGAGAAGAATTTTGGATTAGAAAACTAGGGACAGCCTTTCCCTGTGGATGTAATGACAATGTCGATAGTGTTGGAAATCTTTCCAGTCCGCAGTGTAATAATGTAAATGTGATGGGACTTTTTAACCATACTCAGAGACGTTCGTACAATAAACCTGCAATAAACCCTTTGATTCATTACTACCTTATGTATATCAACAGTTAGGTCTACATCATATTCGAACAAAACTCTACTCTGTCCCTTTGAAATTTTTAAATAGTCTTCTTGAAAAGGCCAAGGAACATCTAATTTTAGAATCCGCGTCACCCGAATATAGACTCGGATCTGTGATTATGGATATTGCATATCATAGGCTCTTTAAACCCGCAAGCTTCACGGAAGAAAATGCAGCTAAAACAATCCGTCTTTTCCTTAAACTTCAATTTGCCAATAAAGGAATTGACGTGGTCAATAAAAGTAATATTCTTAATCACAAAAGGGTCCAGTCTTGTATTCCACCATATTTCAAGTTAAAGACTACACCTTGTATTTCCTACAAATATACATCGACCATTGCTTCCAAACTTTTCAATTACAAAAACACTTTACATGGCCTGGATACCGACTATCTGAAACATAATCCTCCTTCGTAATCATGTTCTTCGCCCTATAACTATAGTCCTGCTGGACACGTTATTACAGGTGACGTAAATATAGTTCATAATGAGGACCTTACATAAATTATTTTAAAAGGTCCTAAATATGAGGTACCCCGATCCTTCAACTGGCGTCGGAATTTCAAAAATATTATGGATTCTGTTGAAAATTACGCCAGAAGATGGGCTAGATATGAAAAAGAAGACGTTGACACTTTGTCAGATTAGATTAAATGTATCCTATCCATGTTAAAGTCATGTATTAAAATATTGAGGGGCAATAAGAAAACCATCTATCTGTGTCCAATAAACCAGAAGTGAAAAAAGAATTAGATAGATTACATGATCAGTACGTACTGGTACATTGTCTTTGTTTGTAAGGCTTATTATATAAATCGCATTCTAGAAAAACTTAGATTTGATTCTACAAATGGTAATCTTACTCATACTTCCCTTTCTAAGAAAGAAATTCTTCAAAATCACCTGTCAGTCTTGAATACTTTTATTATTCCACAGAGCCAAAATGAATTTGAACTACCTTATATATATTGTATTCCAAAACTTCATAAGAATCCTTACAAACAAAGATACATTGCAGGTTCCATTAAATGTTCAACCAAGCCTCTTTCGTTACTCCTCACTAAGATATTGACAGAAGTGAAGGAAAAACTTCAAGAGTACTGTGCAACTATATATTTAAGAAGTGGTGTGAATCAGATGTGGATACTAAAAAATTCTAAAGAACTTTTCGACACTTTGAAATCACAATAATTTACAAAAATCAAGAGCTTAAAAACTTACGACTTTTCAACTTTATACACAACAATTCCCCACGCCAAATTAAAATCCAGGCTTTTTGATATCGTTGACAGCTTCTTCTTCAATAAAAATGGAACTCGTAAATTTACTTACCTCGTCATGTGTCATTTGCAAAATTATTTTGTTAAAACAGATTCTGATTGCACACAAAAGTACTCTGAAGTTGACATCAAGAAGATGCTTGAGTTTCTGATTGACAACATCTATGTGGTTTTTGGAGACCAGGTATTCTAACAGTCAATTGGAATTCCCATGGGTACAAATTGCGTTCCGTTATTAGAAGACTTATTTTTATATTCATATGAAGCAGAGTTTATGCAAAATATTATGCGTGAAAAGAAGAAAACACTTGAAGTGGCCTTCAACTCAACATTTAGATATATCAACAACGTATTGTCAATTAAAAATGGCAATTTCCATTCCTACGTCGATACGATATATCCTGGTATGCATGAGATAAAAGATACCACGGGGTATGACACTTCTGTTTCATACTTGGATAGACACTAATGGTAATCTAACAACCAAGCTATATGATAAACATGATGACTTTAACTTTTCTATCCTCAACTTCCCTTACTTATGCAGCAATATACCTTCATCACCTGTATACGGAGTATATATATCTCAGTTGATTCGCTGTGCAAGAGCATGCTCTACGTCTAATACGAGGTAAATTATTGACAAGCAAGTTGACGAAACAAGAATATCAGCAGTCTCGTTCAAAGTCATCATTTTGTAAGTTCTATGGTCGATACAATGACCTTGTCAGCAAGTACAGTTTATCATTCAGTCAAATGCTGACTGACAATTTTCATACCAAGTGTTAGTCCATTATTTATACACTGAATTGACGACGGATTTTTTCCGTTATTTCCTGATCATGACTAGGAGCACACGGCGGGTGTGACCGGTCGGCAGAAGATGCTCACTCCTCCATGGCACCTGATCCAACCTCTGATGTTTCGGGGGTCCGTGTTTGCTCTGTTTTAATTTTGTATTGTTTTACGGAATTTGAGATTGAATACTGTTCGTTATCGCCATATCCTTCCTATATATTTATATGTAAAACTTTGATCGGCCATTTAGGCTCCACCCTAGCCCCGGGGGTCATGATTTGAACAAACTTTAATCTACTCTCATGAGGATGATTTCACATGAGTTTCACCTTTCCTGGCCAAGTGGTTCTTGAGAAGATTTTAAAGGATTTTCCTATATATTCCTATGTAAAACTTTTAACAGCCATTTTGGTCCCACCCTACCCCCGGGTACATGATTTGAACAAACTTGAATCAACACTACCTGAGGATGATTCCTCATGAGTTTTATCTTTCCTGGACCAGTGGTTCTTGAGAAGAAGATTTTAAAAAAAATTTCCTCTATATTTCTATGTTAAACTTTGAACGGCCATTTTGGCCCCACCCTAGCCCCGGGGGTCATGATTTGAACAAACTTTAATCTACTCTCATGAGGATGATTTCACATGAGTTTCACCTTTCCTGGCCAAGTGGTTCTTGAGAAGATTTTAAAGGATTTTCCTATATATTCCTATGTAAAACTTTTAACAGCCATTTTGGTCCCACCCTACCCCCGGGTACATGATTTGAACAAACTTGAATCAACACTACCTGAGGATGATTCCTCATGAGTTTTATCTTTCCTGGACCAGTGGTTCTTGAGAAGAAGATTTTAAAAAAAATTTCCTCTATATTTCTATGTTAAACTTTGAACGGCCATTTTGGCCCCACCCTAGCCACGGGGGTCATGATTTGAACAAACTTTAATCTACACGTCCTAAGGATGATTCCACGTGAGTTTTATCTTTCCTGTCTCAATGGTTCTTGAGAAGAATATTTTAAAAGATTTTTCCTACATACTCCTTTGGAAAATTTTGATCGGCCATCTTGGCCATCTTGGCCCCATCCTACCCCCGGGAAACATGATTTGAACAAACTTGAATCTACACTACCTGAGGATGATTCCACATGACTTTCATCTTTCCTAGACCAGTGGTTCTTGAGAAGATTTTTTTAAAATGCCATAAATGTTTCACTAATTCATAACTATCTCCCCTTGGCAAAGGGTTTGGCCTTTCAATTGAAGAAACTTGAATCCCCTCAACCCAAGGATACTTTGTAGCAAGTTTGGTTGAAATTGGCCTAGTAGTTCTTGCGAAGAAGATGAAAATGTGAAAAGTGAACGACGACAGACGATGGAAAAATTTTGATCAGAAAAGGTCACTTGAGCTCAGATGAGCTAAAATGTTGTCAAATACTAATGCATGAAGGATTAGCGATTTAATTTTGACAACAATCTGTGACGAATAACATTTGTCTGACATGTTTTGACAACTTATACACTTTTATATATCAATGTTGAGTTTCTCAATCTTTACATTCTTTTGAGGTCATATTCAATGCATAACATCACATCACACGAAATATTGTAAATATATGTCCGCATATGTTCTTAAACCTAAGACATCCTTATCATAGTTTGAATAGTGGACAAGTATTACCAAATATATTCCTTTAAATCAACATTCATAAGATTTCCTATTTAGGAAAGGAGATGGCCTAGATGAAAAACTAAGTGAATTTAGTTAATTGTCAGATGTTGAACTTTTGATCTAGCACCTACGGTCTGTTGGAGGGATAATTGGAATGGTATTCTTAAAACAAATAGTATTGTTTCGACATTTTTAATTGGCATCATTTAAGATTATGAAAATATTTTTTCGCAATTTTTTTATTGCGACAAATGTTAAAGCATGGAAAATTATCATGATTTCATGAATGTCAACAAAGTTTTAGAAGAGAAATTTCTCG